AGGGTACTAGTGAAATTCTTTCCCTGATCGGTCAACAACCGTTCCGGAGCGCCTTTGTCGAGGACGTAGCCCTGAACAAAAGCCTCCGCAACGGCCGCTGCGGACTGGTTGGCGAGGGGCCAAGCCATAGGCCATCGCGTGAAATATTCCACGCCAACCAGCAGGTACTTATTACCCCTCGGCGTGGAAGGAAACGGTCCCAAAATATCAAGGGCGACCAGCTCGTTAACCCGGGTGACCGAAATGGACTGGAGCGGTGGACTGGCTCCCTTCGCCGGCGGCTTCCGTTGTGCACACTGGGTACAGGACCGCAGCAGATCGTCCACGTCTCTTGCCATGCCCGGCCAAAAGTAATTAAGCTGGAGCATGGCAAGTGTTTTGAGGGTACCCAGGTGCAGGAGCCGTTCATGAGCAGCCCATACAGCCCTACCCCTCAACGTGGAAGGCACCACCAGCCTGTGACGGCGGATCGTCCCGTCCCAATGCATGAGTAAGCCCTGGCACCACCCCCATGAGTCAACGCCCGACTTCCCTTGACCTGATCCTTCCGCGCGACGTCGTAGCGCCAGGAGGGTCGCATCCTCCATTTGGAGGCGACCCCACTCAGTACTTGACAAGCCAAGTAGGGAATCACTCCCACCCTCCGAAATAGGACCAGCGTCCGAAGGAGTATCAACTGCGGCCGCAAGAACCCGATCCCGGCCGTCACTTGCCGATTTGCAACGGCCCGAACCCAAGAAACAAGTGCAATCCGGGGCGATCGGCAGGCGTGATAGGGCATCGGCGTTGGTGTGGCGAATCCCCTTCCGGTAAGTTGTCTCAAAATCGAAATCCTGCATGATCTCGAGCCATCGGGACAACTGCCCCGATGGCTGGTTAATTCGTAGGGCATACTGCAACGCTGCATGATCTGTACGGACGGTGAAATGCCGGCCGTACAGATATGGCCGGTACTGTTGGATAAAGAACACGATAGCCAACAGTTCGCGGTGGGTGACGCAGTACCGCTGCTCGGCCGGGGACAGTACTCTACTACCATAAGCCACAACGCGCTCCACGCCACCCACAATTTGTGACAGCACGCCTCCAATCCCGGTATTGCTTGCGTCCGTGTCGAGCACGAACGGCATGGAAAAATCGGGGTAGCTTAACGGCGGGGCCCCCACCAGGGCATCCCGAAGAGAGACAAAAGCGGCGTTCTCCACCGGCCCCCAATGAAATTTGACCCCTTTTGACGTCAAGGCATGTAGTGGCTTAGCGATGGAAGCAAAGTCCGCAACAAACCGGCGGTAATATGAAGCAAAGCCGATGAAGCTTCTAACCTCCCCCACCGAGGTGGGAATAGGCCAGGAGCTGACACAACGCGTTTTGGCGGGATCGGTTGAGATACCTGACCGGCCGACGATGTGACCCAAATATTTAACAGATTCGCGCAGCAAATGGCACTTTTGTGGCTTGAATTTCAAATTAGCAGCGCGCATTTTGAGAAAGACGGCCCGAAGCCTATCAAGGTGTTCCTCGAACGTCTTACTGAATACGATAACGTCATCCAGGTAAATCAAACACACCTCCCATTGCAAGCCAGCGAGGACCAATTCCATCAGGCGCTGGAACGTCGCGGGAGCAGAGTGTAATCCCATGGGTAAGCGATTGAATTGGAAGAGGCCGTGCGGCGTTCGGAAAGCTGTTTTGGGCCTGGATTCGTCGTCCAAGGGAAGTTGCCAAAATCCTGAGAGCAAATCCAAAGTGGAAAAGAATCGCGATCCCGCGAGGGCATCCAGCGATTCGTCCATTCGAGGAAGCGGATAAGCATCGGCCACCGAGATCTTATTTAATCGCCGGAAATCAACGCAGAACCTTAGGGACCCGTCGTGCTTTTTGACCAACACTATGGGTGCACCCCAAGGGCTGGTCGAGGGAGAAATGATGTCCGATTTCAACATGTCATCTACAGCCGATTTGACATGATCCTTTTCGGCGGGACTTAACCGAAAAGGATTTTGGCGGATAGGAGCGTTGTCACCGGTGTCAATATGGTGGCGTAGCAATTTGGTACATCCGATATCGTATTTGTGTTTACTGAAGACGTCGGAAAATTCTCGCAATAAGGCGCGTAATCTAGCACGTTGTGCGTCAGACAGGTCAGGTGACTCAGCACACAACGCATCCAGCCAAACCTCGTCAGCGTCTGAGGCTAATCGCGTTTGAGAATCGGTGGCCACCTGGCCAATGATCGGCGTTTCCGCAGGTACCGGAACCGCATGTGCGAACACGGTACCTTGCGAAACCACTGCCGTCCGTGTCCCGACATTGAGGACCGCGATAAACGGGTCCCCATCCCCTTTAACAATAGTCTGGGCCGTCACCAGATCTGGCCCACTCACCCCGGCTCTAGATGGTCCCAAAATAACGCCCCGGTCAGAGACTCCTTTATCGAACGGTCGACGCAAGCGCAGGGGTACCAACATCTGTGCCCCCGGGGGTACACGCACCGTCCGAGCAACAAGCGCCTGTACCGTAGCACAGGCAACACGCACGGCAGGGGTGGCAGGTAGGAACGTCATACGTCGGCCCGATGGAAGCTCGATGCATTGCTGGTCAATCAGAATTTTGATGGGCAATTTGGCCAAAAAGTCCGTCCCCAACAGGCACGGAATAGCCAGCGAGGAGGAGACGAACACCGGGCCAGATAGTTTAATGTCCCCTATCGAAATTTGCGCTCGAATTTGACCGATAATACCCAACGAGCCCCCATTCGCAGCGTAAAACGGTATATCGACAGGGAGCAACGGGCGACTCTGAACGGGCAGGATATTATAAATCAAATCTGAAATGATAGTTGCCGAAGCTCCCGTATCGACCAATAGCCGTACCTCCACCCCGTCAATATGCCCCGCGACAACGGACGACCCCGCTGATGCAGCCACAACTCGGTGAGCCAACTCGGACCATTGGCCCGGTTGGAGCGCCCTCCCCGACATGCCGCGACCCGACGCACCAGCACCCAACCCCCGAGAATTGTGTATCGGACCATGTGATAGGAAAGTGGGTGTGTGTGCAGGCCGAACATGTGGGGTGCCATGACTTGCCCGAGGATGTTGCGAAGGCTTGTGAGGAGGGCCGTCCGCAGCTCCAGGTCTCGCACCGCGCTGTCGAGGAGCCCGGCATCCGGACGCCACGTGGCCCCGGAGGCCACAATTATAGCAGACGACGAGCGTTCCAGAGGACTTGGGCTGGTCTCGGTGGCTTGGAACGTCCCGAGCCGGTCGCTCGGCAGATCGCCATCCTGCAGAACGATCCGCAGCGAAGGCTCCCTCCATTCCAGAAGAGGTTGCCGCCACGGTGTGTCGTGCAGCAGCTTTGTTCGCCTTCCTCCGCTGGGAGATGAGATTGGCGTGAATGTGCCTTGCAGCCCGCAGTGATGACATATCCGCATCGTCCTGCGCTAAGATGGTGAAGTCCAGATCGTCAGCCAGCAGCAAAATTTTCTCGGCCACCATCGCATCGATCCCCTCTTCATCCATACGCGGGAAAGCGTCTTTCGCCAATGACAGCAGGGCCGTGCGATAAGCGAGTGGCGATTCCTTATCACCCTTCTGCCGTTCATAGAAGAGCTGGCGACAATCGGAGGGCGGCCCATAAACGGTGGCCAGCAGCTGCAGCGCCGACTGAATGGTGGAGCGTGCCGACTTGGGTGCAGCAGTGAGGGTGCCCAGGGCGTCGCCGTCCAATAACGCCGGGAGAGCACACAGCGCCTCGTTGTCCGACCAGCCTGCCATCTCTTGGTGGGCCAAGAACCGGCGCTGGAACCCCCCCCAATCGCCGTCGCTTGCAACAAATACCTGCAGGGCCGGCAGGCGTTGCTGGAATGTCGGCTCCGTCTCCGATCCTCTTGGAGCGTCTCTTGCAGCATCCGTAGCGCGTCCCCGTACTGTATGGTCGGTGCTGGCGTCAGCTGGTGGTGACGTTTCAACCCCTGATAGGCTGCCACCGCGACCCGCCTCCGCCGATGACGTGGCGGCTGCTGGCTGGGCACCGTCTCCCGCGTGACGAGCTGGGACTCCTCCCTCCGCCCCTACTGTCTTCGTGGCGGGATTTTCGAGTCGCCCCGCTGTTGAAAAGGCGGGAGTTTCTGGCGGGCGTTGTCCATCTTCCCGCCGCGTCGCTCCTCCCGGCCCCAGGCGAGTTATTTGTTCCAGCATAGCGGCCGCTGCATACAAGAGCTCCGCCAGCCGCGAGTGAGCCAACGCCAACTCGTCAGTCGACGTCCCGGCCCTCTCCGACGGCCCCGCCGATGTCGGAGCCGGCAGCAGTTGTGCAGGTACGTCGGCGGCGATGTCTTGCACTGCCCCTCCCTCGTCGTCATCCTCTCCTGGGTCTTGGGCACGAGTCTTCCGTCTCGTATCCATGCTTGGCCCACTTCCAACACCAGATGTAGTAAGTTGATGAGGAGACGATGAGGAAGTTGAGACACACTGTTTATTAACTCCGGGACAGATACAATAGTTGAAGGGGTATCGGCCCCTTCACCCGTACTATGGGAAACCCACCCTAGTACTAAGCCCTCTGTCCTGTCCCCCAGTCCTCCTCTACTGGGCTACGGGAGGCTGACTGATCTGGCCCTGGCAAGCACAGATCTCGGCACCAGCTAACCAGCCTTGCCCTGATAAGGGCAGCGGTCTGGAAGCTCTTGGGCCGCGCCACTGGCTTACCCGGCTCGGCCCTTATAAGGACGGCGAGACCGGGGAGTCCCAGGGCCTAATCTCCGAGTCTTGGATCTTCACTGGTCAGCTTCGTGTCGAACTCCTCGAGCTCTTTGGGTTCCACCTTTTATAGGGATCGCCTCCGAGGGCTGGGGGCGTGGGCAATAACTGATGCGGACGTCGGTGTGACCCCCCGTGTATGTGAGTGCCGACAGCCCTGTGTTTGTTGTCCGCCGTTTCTCCCGTAATAACCCCTACACATGGCAGGGGCATTTATGAGACAAATAAAAAAACACAATGGTTAACTTTCTCATTAAAGTGACACTGACTTTACCCATCCCAGAGGGACGATTGGTTGAGTCAACCCCAACCGGGAGTTGAATTCACGACCTTCCGATTGTGAGCCACTTGCTCAACTTCTGAGCGACCTGGGGCTGGATCAGAAACCAGAGTAAGCATTTTATTTTCAATGGGAATAAATCTGAAACGGTTTAACTCTCCTGTCGGTAATCCCACACATTTCCAGACGCGGTGGCGGCACGCGACCTCGGCGCGGAAGGGCGTGCGGAGGTCGGCGTCCCCTCGGCAGCATACGGCACAGTCCAGGTCGCATCAACCCGTGCTGAATATGGGGAGACGACACGGAGCCCGGCATGGGTGTAGCGTGAGACCGCTGCCTGGGACGGTGCCCTGGCCGGAGAGGAATCCGTCCGAACTCCTCGGCCCTCCGAGCTCGGACCTGGTGAAGCGCGTGCGCTGAACCACGGCGCCCGCGGAGAAGGGAGCACGTCGCTCACGTCCGCGGCGTGGAGCAGCTCCGCGCCGCCGTCGCAGAGACTCGGCTCCCCCACGCACGATGGAAGAACGTTCACAGGGGCGCAGCTGCCTTCGACGGTGGCGGCGGCCGTGGGAAGCGATGCGGCGGGTACGGCGGCGGAGGAGGACAGCGGCCGGGCGAGCGGCGCCTATTGGGGTGGTGAATCTCCAGCGAGCGACGTCCCATGCGTCGCCACGGCCTTTGCCCGGGGCGGCGACGCCGACGCGACAGCTACGGCCCTCGATCCCTCGCTCTGCAACGTCACGCGGACGGACGCCGCGCCCGACCGTCTGTCCGTCGACGTGCGCACCCAGCGCACCGAGTGGCAGCTCTTCACGTCCTCCCTGAGACACCTGCACCACGAGACCAACGAGCCGCTCAATGAACTCAGGCGCCTGGGCTCCGCGTCTGGGACGGCGAGGACCCCCCTCCTCCTCCTCCTGCCACCCCCGCCGCCTCTCCCGCCTCCCCCACCGCCACCCCCGCCTCCCACGGCCGCTCCCCCGGTGACCTGCGGCCCGGGATATACGCACCGGCGTGGAGGCTGCGTGTCCCTTTGCAGAGTGTGCCCACTTTCTGCTACAACGGGGGCACGTGCCACCTCATCGAGGCCATTGGAGCGTTCTGCAGGTGCGAGCACACGACCTCCGCGGCACCGCTCGAGATTTACATCGCGGGCGGACACATTTAAACATTTTTATGGGGCTTTGGGATGGATTGCACCGTGAAATCCACCAACCGCTCTTAAGTTCGATTCCCCGGCCGCTCTATTTATTGGCGTCAAATGTTACACTTCAGATGAAGTACCGTACAGGCATCCCCCCGATATATGGAACGGATACTTTGCTGAAAAGTCCGTAAAGTTAAATTGCATATATCGAATCCTGTTTCCCATTGACTTCCATTATAGAATTGGAGATGCAATCCTTCAGAAAGGATTTGGCCCCAAGAGGGTAATAAAATCACACTGAACCCTTTCCCACCAGTTTTTATTCCGATTCTGTTCCGATGATGTACGTCATCGGAACGTAATCGGAAATAAAGGGCCATACGGGAGGGCGTGTGGCACAGTTTGGAGCCAGCTATCGTAGAGTGCGGTAGTCGTGTTGCAACAGTTTTCTAAAGTGAGTACAATGTCTTTAAAAACAGCGGCGCTACTACACCTCTTTAAATAAAATTAACGCTGAACTGCTTGCGCATTCCGAGATTCAGCGGTGAACGGGACCCACCCTGCAACTTGCAGACGTCTCGGAACGGGAAAGGGTTAGGAATGCAGCAAACCTTTTTGAAACACATTTAATTGAAAATCAATAATCTTATGATCAAAAAAAATAATACTCAATGTAAGTCGTGGGAAACCAGTAAAGTATGAATAGTGTCCCAGACACAAACGTCAGTGTGGCATTTTTTTTCTCCCCCCAAAATGAATAATTTAAGACATTCCAAACTCCGTAAATGTGATTTCACGTAACACATATTGAATTAACATTCTAGCGGAATTCCGTATATTTCGTTGCCGTAGAACGAAGGATGACCGTACAGGCAGTCAATTGTGCATAACTGCAGTGCAAATGCAGTTATCCTGTGTACGGTATGTACGTTGAACTTCTTTCGCACCGTACGTAGCCAACCGTGCTAATGGGAGGTGCGGGGGTAAAGGAACAACAAACTAAACACACAAAAAGCACCGTTACTTGCCGTCATTTCCTCTTGTGATGGGACATTGCCAAAGTTGTATTTCCACAATGAATGAAATTTGAGATGAGAAAAAAATTACCACAAGTTACATTATTTGGGAGGTTTTTGAATTAATAATCATAACCATTACGAGATAAAATGTCACGAGACTCATTCAAATTATTATGATGAACGGCTTTCACATTTACCTTTAACACGAGTAACCACATTTTATTGACAGTTTCAAGAGTTCAACAAAGTAGACTGCCACAAATGTCTGAAATCTCTGCACGACGTTCAGATCGAAATGCACTGGGAATGGCCGTTGAAGAACCGGTTTGTTCACTCATGAAGGTAAAAAATAATGCCAGATTTGTGTTCTGGCCAGGTGCTGGTGAAATAGTATTGACCCCCCCACGTAAAAACTGAATCAGTGGGAAAGCCGCCACCATTCTATTAGCCGGCGCGCGATAATTCAGATGTAAATCTGAGAGTGTGGAAATATCATGGCCAAGTCTGGACATTTTAACAATTAATTTCTGACCAATTTTCCACAAGAATCACGACAAATTCACACCAGGCCAGTAACGTGATACATTCGGGTGCAATTCTGCGAACGGGAATGAGATTACAGCAATGCGGTACTGTTGCTGCTGGGTGCCAAAGTGCTTGCCACAAATGAACCACAATACCCTGCTGCTCTCGAGCATAAACCATCATCACGGGAACTCTGGTCATCCTCGCAGTGGCGAATTTCGGCTCGCTAATGCGGCCGTCTGGAATTCCTTCCAATATTAGGAAACCACTGGAGCTATGTATGCACTTTTAAATCGAGATTGACAACTATTTTCGTTAGAACTGGTTATTGTATATAGTTTGTTGTCCTTCCCCCGCACCTCTGATGAGCACAGTTGACTACGTACGGTGCAACAGAAGTTCAACATACGTAGTGGAGAGGTGGAAGTCGCTGTACGATGGTCGTGTGCTATGTTTGCTGTGTGCAGCTGGAGCCTACAGCAGCTCACGTGCGGTGTGGTCGTGCTTGCTGGGTAGTGTGTGGGCGGTGTGTCACACTTCGTCCGGGGTGGTGGTGGGAATGCACATGGCATGTAATCCAGCACTTGTAGAGGCGAGGGTTGGTGGATCACGCAAATGTAAAGTAATATAATGAAAATGCCTTCCCGTCAAGAGAAGTACAGCAAAAATGTGGACTCCACCTATTGTCTGTATGGGATATAGTGTTGCCCCCTCACACGCGTGTGGGTTTCTCCCCCATGCAAACTCATTAATTGGCTGATGACACCTTCATATATAGAGGACAGCAGAGCTTGGGCACTTGTTGGCGCCGGCTCATTGTGAGGCTGCTCCCTTGCTGCTTGTCTGTGTTTCCCCGCGCCTCTTGAGCCGAACTCTCTCTCTCTCTCAAGAGTGAGCGAGTACTGTGCAGCGTGTTACACGTTGAAATTATGACTGCGTGGTGTGGTGTTCATTGAGTGGTGTGTTGTCGTTGCCATGTGGACATGTAAGGTGGAATATTCGGCTTGCTGTGTGGTGGTGTGTGGAGAGGCTTGCAGAGACCCACAGTGGTTTCAGACCAGGGCAGTCCTGCACGGATGCCATATTCTCTGTGCGTCTCCTACAGTAGAGGTGTAAGGAATTTCAACAGGACCTACATCTCTGCTTCATTGACATGGTCAAGGCCTATGAAACCATAAATAGGCCACGGCTCTGGGTTATTATTTGTGCTCTCTGCTCACAATCATTTGGGACCTTCACGATGGTGGGCAGGCCCAGGTAAAGCTGCACCAGATCAATTTACATCTGGGACAGATTCAATGTGAAACTGATCGATGTATGGGTGCTGTCAAAGAATGGTTCCCAATTGGTCAACCATGCTATGCATCCTGATTATTTTCTCATTGCTGCTCACTTTGAGGAGTTGCAGATGACTCCCACAAAAAACAAGGCACCTGCCTGGGGCAGTTCTGGAGAGAGTGGAGACGGCTCCACACCTGCACAGTGTGCTTATTCCCAGCTATAGTTCAGCAGATATCTCACTCTGGATGAGTCGAGTGGCATTGTCTTTTCATCAGCTGTGTAATACTGTGTAGAGATTACCTGGCTTGTTACTCCATACGAATCTTCGGGTATTCTAAGCGAAATGTGGAGCCCTTTGTGTACCATTTTCAAAAGTTCAGGCTGGCCTGCCTATGATCCATCCTGGGTTTAATCATACTGGATTAAAACATCTACATCGGGCCCTCAGGATGAACGGATACTCTGACCGCACCATCCGCCAAGCTGTTTCTCCCACCATACAGAAACAGCCACATGAAACTCCGATCAAAACTATCACGTTGCCATACATAGCAGGCATGACCAAAAAGATCTCCAAAATTCTAAACAAACATAAGTTCCAAGTCCGTTTCAGTACAGTACATAAAATCCGTGATCTAATTCTATCTGTGAAAGATGTCATTCCTGACTAACAATACCCTGGGGTCTACAAACTGAGTTGCAGTTGTGGTGATTGCTACATTGGAGAAACGAAACGTCATATCTCTGATCGTGTCCGCGAGCACAAGTCAGATCTGAAACACGGCAAAACTGATTCTTCCGCCGTTGCCGATCATTGCTACAACGCTGTGGGCTCTCATGAAATTGTCTTTTCCGAGACCAAGATACTCTGCAAGCCTCCTGGCTACCATCAAAGGTTTGTACACGAGGCCATCCAAATATACAAATACAGACATAATTTCAACCGTGATGATGGGTACAAACTTAGTAATCATTGGAAAGATGTTATTAACCATGCAAAAAAGATTTAACTACACATATTTGGAGCATTCCTGGCAGCGATTTCAGCCGCACCACCTCTACATAACAAAGGCTCAGTCAACCATTCTACACAACAAAGACTCATTTCCTGGCAGCGATTTCAGCCGCATCACCTCTACATAACAAAAGGATCAGTCCCATTTACACGCACCTTTACATCATCCGCACCTAGTTTACACAACAAAGGCTCATTCCTAACAACGTGCTTCAGCCGCACCGAACCTCACAAAAATAATATTCAGGGCCTACCTTGGCTCCTTCCACCCTCAACCAGTATATATGCAAATACTGTTTTCTTGGAATTTCTCTCACTTGATACAGCTATCGTGCTGTGACGGTTCCACCTGAAGACGGAAGCTTGTGTTGCCTCCGAAACGTCGTGATTTTTTTTACTTAATTTTAATTTTTTTATCTACGTGACTTTACCGAAAAAAACCTAAGAATATGAATCCTTGCAGTCACGAAAGCTTCAAATCTAGAATGGATTGAGGAGCTCACATATCCTTGAAAGATCTGGACACAGTCCCATCGGTGAGCTCCTCCAACAGGTTGGCTGGGTCATGTTGGCGCCCACATGCCCAGCCAACGCTGAGTGGACTTGCCAATGACTGGTACCAGCGGTGTCAAGATGGCCTGTATGGAGGATGTCCGTGAAGGACACTCCTGGGCAGTAGGAGGCAGTAGTTCTCCAACAATAGCGAAGAGCAGACGAGCGAGGCTCACAATAACAAACGGAGCACCAAGCAGGTAAAAAAAAATCAGTGAGTTGGCACAGGTGGTGCTTTTGCCAGTCATCTCGGTCAGTCAACCCATGTCACCTGAGCCTGTCCCGTGACCTCCTGCCAGCAGCGAGCCTCCGACATTTCGCGTGGGCCCCAATGTGCACCAAGCCTGGCACGAGCGCCGCGGCGACGCTCCCAACCGCTTGGCGGCGATCGGCGGCCGACGTTCGCCGTGCGGTGCCTCCGTGTTTCTGTCGCGCGGCCCCGCAGGTGCAGCGTGCAGGAGCACGTGCGGTACAAGGGGCTGCGCTGCGAGGGGGCCGCGTCGCACACCGCGGCGCGTGGCGGGGCGCTGGGAGCCGGTGGAGGCGCCCTCGCGCTGGGGCTGCTGCTCGTCGTGTGCCTCGCCCAGCGGGCACGGAGACTCCACGAGCACAACGAGCGCCTGCGGCATGAGCACCCACATTCGCCTCGCCGGCGTTCCCTCACCTCACCCGTGCCCTCACCTCACCAGCTATCATCAAACTCACCCCACCAGCTCTCCCACCTCACCAGCGCCCTCACCTAAAAAGTGTATGTAAAGAACACTCCACTTTTTATTTATTGTGCTTGATTTGGTTCTATACTCGGTGCAGGTTCGTGAAGGATTGGTTCAGCTATCACTCGCCAGTGATTTTAGCCGTGCGTAGGAAATTGAGCTCGGGTCACCAGGTTTATAGTGCTCATCACTGCGCTACTGCTCCACCGTTATGTCATGATAATACTACTAAAGGTTAACAATATTAAGCCGAAGAAGAACCCCTATTGGATGCTGGGAAATTTGAGGTGCGAGCCTGCCTTGCTAAAATATGTTTTTGTGTTGAAAGAGAAGCGCACAATCTTTATCGGTGTGAAATTAAAGACACGAGCCAGAGCCGTGCGATTGTGGCCATGCAACTCAAACTGTGGACCACGCAGTCAAGCACCTGCAGTCCCGCGCTCCTTCAACGGAGGAATCACGAACTCCCTCCGCTGAAGCCCTCTCGTCGTAGCGTGTGCGAGGAACGGAATGGAGTTGAAACGAGAGATGCCTCGCGCGCGTGCGGGAGTTGTGCACCCAGCGTGGAACAAGCGGCCAGCCGCAGGGCCGCTGATGCCGGGGCTGTCGCAACAGGCGTGCTGAGGGTGCTCGCACAGGCAGGCGCCGTTTTGCCAGCACTGCGGAGGCAGCGAGGGTTGGCGGATCGCGCAAATGTCGACGGATTGCCTTCCCGTGGGAGTCGAGGAGGAGCCCGTACCCTGGCTCGCGGGGAGAAGCGGTGACGGCAGCAATGTGGACTCCCACCTCTTCTGTCTGGATGGGCTCGAGTGTTTTCTTCCCGCGCACGCATGTGATTTCTCCTCGTGCTCTGGTTTCCTCTCACATGCAAACACTCAGTAATTGTCCGACAACACCTTCATATAGAGGACCGCAGAGCTTGGGGGGGTGGAGGGATTTGGCACCGACTCGCTGCCTGGCTGCTGCAACCCTCCCGCGTGTCTGTGGCCGGTTGTAAACTACCTCGCCTGGTATACAGGAGGTCGTGGCTTCGATCTCGACCCTGACACCTGCTGTATATTTGGAGTTTGCATGTCCTCATGGTCGCGTGGATTTTTTCATTTGGTCCACAGGTTTTTCACCTCCACATTTAGAATCAACGTCACGCGTTTATTCAAGTATTTGACTGCTGTAAATTTCCACGTGACGATAAGCCACTTCGATGAGCGGTCATTTGTGGCCAGGTCGCTCCTGCAAAAGAGCTACATAGCTCAGTAGGACTTAACCTGGTCAAAAAATATATAGTTAATAATAGGTGTGGTTCCTCCTCGTGCCTCCGAGTCGTCTTCTCGCTCTCTGTCTTCGAGGAGTGAGTATTGTGTGGTGTAGCAGCGGCTCGTTCCAACTTGACACTATTCTTCTTATTAAAAAACCTGTGTCAAGGTCTGAGCCAGACTATGCTCGAGGCCTGGCCAAGGAGGACCCAACAGAGGTTGAAGAGGCACCCAGAGACGAAGGTTATCACCGAATAAGCAACATAAAAAAAATACGCAGAAATCTGATCGAGTGCACACGAGAGGCAATAGCAATTCACTCAAAAGTACCGTATGCCGATATATACGTTAATTTTATTACGTTCGTCATAAATTAATGCTTCTCTTCGGCTTACTTCTCGTTTGTTTCGTTTTTACGGGGTTTGTTTTGTTTTCTTATTCTAAATTTTAAAAAATTCAGTGGAAAAAAAACGCAGAGTAAATGCACGTCGTGTCATTTGTCCGTGCATGCATTTTACACGGTTCAGTCCGTTTTGCCTGCCCGCTGCATTCTGTATCCTCACAGCCACTTGCTTACACCAAAGCCACGTGGTTAAAACCACGAAACGCTCCACCACCCTGTGGGCCTTACACCGCTCCTCCAGTCCCTTCGTTCATCCTCCCCTCCACCCCTCATCACCTCGCAGCAGCAGCAGCATCACCTCACACGCTGTGCACCACAGTTTATGGTTTGTAAATTACAGTGTACGGTTTGTTTTTTTAATTGGGGCGCCAGGGTGGCGAGATGTTAAAATACCTCGCCTGGTATGCAGGAGGTTATGGCTTCGATCCCGACCCTGATGCCTGCCGTATATTTGGAGTTTGTGTGTCTCTCTCTCTCTCCGTGGTCGCGTTGATTTTTCTCCGAGTCCTCCGGTTTTTCTCTCCACATTTAGAATCAACACGTGTTTAGAGCATTTGACCGCTATAAATGTCCACGTGATGAGCCACTTCGTTCAGCAATCGTTTTTGATGGCCAGGTCGCTTCTGAGAAAGAAAGAGCTACATAGCTCGGTGGGCCTTAGCTCGTAAAAATAAATAGTAGTAATTACCTGTCTAGTTATTATTCTCCATATTTGTGCATGAAAATATCTTAGTTGTGTTAAAAAGTGTTATTTTAGCAGGTTTTGGGTAAGAAACCCCTTTCTTATGAATATATCTTAGATAATATAATGGGACCCTATGGGAAAATAGGTTTCGATATAAGATTTTTCATTATACGTTCAGGTTTTTTAAGAACACAACCATGCTGTACGTATTATGAGGTGCTGTCTTGGCGGGTTCTGAATAATAAAGTGACATGAAATCAATACGGGGTCTGTTTCATTGCCTTCTGGTCCATTGTTTTCCAGAAGTATTAAGGTGGCAAACTTGAGGCCGGTTATTCCATCCCTTTCAGTTTGACTTTATTTGATTTGTGAGGCGGATAGTCCCCTTCAGCCAATTGACTGGCTCTTTTGCAAGGGAGATCCGTGGTGCGTGAGCACAGAAACAACAAAAACGAGGACAAAACATCAATATTGCAGAGAACAGGGTCCTTGAGAAATATTGCACAAAAAACGAGGTCATAAATGAAATATGTTAATAGTAAAAAAAAACCGTTAAAATATAATACGAGAGCAATAGGCGCCAGAACAATCAAAGTACATGTGGAAGTAAGCGCTATACTTTAGTCGAACAGTGACATAAACACACGCAAGTCAAAAAATAGATTGCAAACCCCGTGTGGGAGCAAGAGACGCCAAAATGAATCTATAGGTGCAGGTGCAAGTGAGCCCTGGGTTTCGGCCCAATGGCAGAGGTAAAGACGGAAGAGGAAAGGGAAGGAACCACGTTCTAAATGAGCGTCAAGAGTATTTCAGAAACGTGGAGCAGCAACGTGGGAAGACTTTTTACCAAAGTATTAGTAAATGGTGTTTTTAGTAGTAATAAGGAGGCATCTCTGAGGTCATGGGAGGGAGTTTGAGGAACTGAGTGGTCCTTTAGGTAATTGGTGGATTTGTTTAAGAGGACGTTTAGGATGAAGACAGCCCAGTGATGGTCTCTACGGATATTCAGAGGGGGGGAATTTGAAATAACTCCCAGGTTGCAATGATGAACTCAATAGCAACATGGGGAGCAGTGGTAGAACGGAATGAGACGTTTTGAGGTAGATTCAGAAGCTGGGTGGCCGATGATGTTACAATCATCAAATCAGGGCAGGATGGCGGTATTAACTATACAGACGGCGTCGAGGTGGAAAACTGAGTTTGTTTACGTGTAGGAATCTTTTTTTCTTCCTCTTATTGAAAGTTCGAATCCAGGATAATGCCTCGATATTTAAAGTTGTTGACCTACAATGAGTCCAGAGCTGCAATGTTCATGAGTGGAGATACAGGTTTGGGGCAGTCAGGAGACAAAACTTTTGTTTTTTTTAGCATTGAGGACCAGTTTCAGGGCATTATGTTGAAGATTATCGAAGTCTTATTGTAGATGCTGTTCTAACTCCTCCATGCAATTTCTGGAGGCTATCAGAGCTGTGTCGCCAGAAAAAGAATATTAATGTCAGAGTGCAGATTTTAGATGTCTAGGTTGTTGACATTCAGAGAAAACAGGATAGGGCCATGCACAGAGCTCCGAGGAACTTTTTTTCATCAAAGTCTCAAATATCTTGATGAGAGGGGAGAGGATTGAGATCGGGCCCTAGGTAATTGTTAGGGTCATCTGTAGCATCACATTGTGGGGGCAGACGTCCGCCCCTACCGCCCTCGCTGGGCGGGTGGGGTGCTACTTTCGCCCCCTCCACTCCCTCCTCCACCGCATCGCTCAGCTCCCGCTGGGCCCCCCCCCGATCGGGTGATCGGTCCTCCCGCGCGGGTGCCCTCTCACTGCCGCACGGGGTTACTCCACACACGCGTATGTATACCACCACTAATGCGAAGGCGGCTGCGTGAACGCGCGCGTCCCGTGCTGGCGCTTGTATTCTGATACGTGCCCGTACAACGACTAACGCTATAGCGGCGGCGCGAACGAGCGCGCTTCTGCAGGCGGTTATCTTAACGAGCGCTCGTGCTGCGACTCTGCCCTCTCTCTCACCGTGCGTCCGCCCACGCAGCCGCTCCGCACAAGGGCTCGCGAATACGCGTGCCGGCGGGTGGTTAAACAATGCCCCGCAGCCACGCTAAGACTCGCTCTAAAGCGGCAGCGCGAACACACACACTCGAGTCACCAACACTGCGCCGAAGCTCTGTGCTCATGTCTTTATTCGCGGCTGCAAAAACTCTGCACTGCCCGGAGGAAATATTCTGCGAGCAGAGCCGATCCTATCACTCTCCAATCCCCCAAATACTCACGTGCCCTGCCACGTACCTGACGGCCGCACTCGCGGCGTTGCACGGACGCTGTGAGAGTCGGAGGGATGGAGATGAGAGAGGACTTTACCTATCGCTGTCTCGTAGCTGCACTCGCTAGCGTCGCACGGATGCTAGCGAGTGGCTCAAAGGAGGCAGGCGGGGCGTCGGTCTGGGCAGCCTGGCGGTTGGAGATAAGACCCTTGAACCGTTTCGGGTTCCCCTTTTTATGCCCTGTGATTTCGAAAATCCAGGGTTACGTTACGTCATCCTGCGCAGCCAATCGTGATTTTAAAACATTTCGTTGCCGTTACCTAGAGCATTACGATACGCTATTTCCCGGCCCAATGTCTTTGCGGCCGCATTCCTTACCCCTGACTCAGCTGGTTTAATCTGGGAGGCCGCCTGGCTGGCGAATACACACCTGCAAGTGTGCACTATCATTTCCCTCTGACCTCACCGTCTGCGCGGTTCGCTTAATATTTCACCCTGGCCCCTCCCCGGTGCGATGAGTGACTCATTGCTGCTAGCCCGGTGAGCTTCTGTGCGCCCATACAATTTTAAGCCAATGTGATTTGTCCTGGGGGGTCGGCCAATCTCCTGGCACCGGGAAACCGCGGGACTTCCCACCTAGGGGCCCTTCGGATGAAATCCCGTGGTGCCAGGTGACCCCCCGCCGGGACACTACGTGTGTGTGTGCTGCTTGTGTGTGTGTGCGCGGCGTGTGTGCGTTCAGGACGGGGATAGGGGGGGAGTCGTGGCGCTTGCTGAGCGGTCGTGGCACCACAACATCTATGGCGGGGGTGTACGAGAGAGGTGTTTTGTCAGTGTCGTTGTTGTACGGTGGCTGCAGAGGCCTGGACATTGCTTCAAGCTGATTTGGATCAGCTCCAGTCCTTCCACACGCGATGCCAAAGATGCCTCCTTGGCATCCGATGGCTTGACTTCGTCAGAAATGTCACCGTCAACATCTGCGACCGGTCCCCTGGGAATCGAATGCTCAGTTGGAGAGAAACGGCTCTGTCACTCTGCGGACACGGTGTATGGCTTGAAGCGCAAACTCCAGCAGCGAATTGCGAAACTTCAGCTGGCGGTCGACGTTTGAACAGTGCCGCATTAAGCTGGTGCGGGGCCTGTAGCATATGTTATAAAGGGGCCCTAAATAAATAAAAACATAAATATAAAAACTATTTTTTTACTTGCATAGTAAAGTAATTGTTTTTTCATTTGCTATACAGCCAGATAATACGACAAATCGCTAATCTTAAATACCTAGTCGTTCATAAATGTTAAAGGTGGTATAGTACTATAGTAATTAAGCAAGTGCAGATTCACTGAACCAGAATGGATAGCTTTAAAGCATTTAGCGCGGGGCCCTTGAAAGTGCGGGGCCCGTAGCAAATGTAGCTACTTGTGCTACGAAGATAATCCGGCAGTGCGTTGGAAGCGAACTGCGACCCTCAGAGAACCGTGCGCCGCTCCCCGTGGTCGCTCCCCACCGCCGTGATCCGTGGATGAAACAAATCGCTTGAGAAATGTCGGCGTGCAACAGCGAGAGCTGTTCATGCGAGAGGTCACATTTGGCGCAATGCTCCTTCGCTGACCATGCGGGCCCGAATAAATGAGTGATGGATGCTTCTAGAATGGCGAGATTGAATCCACGGCCAATCGGTTTCGCAGTGGAGTTCGCCGCGAGGTGGAGGGCAGAGGCGGGCAGCCGGTCATCGTCGGCAGGCCAAGAAGGCAACACGCCCACGAGGATGAATGCCGCCGGAGATGGAGCGACGAGATGATCTGATGTGCGGGGGATCGAGACGGCGACGACACGGGGGGTGGCCTTCATCCAGCAGCGGATAGATCGTGACGATTGTGATGGCAAAGGCTGCGCAGGGCGCCCTCGCGGAACGCGCACGATGCAGCCGCTTAGCCATCCTCCACCCCCTCCTCCTCCACCCCCTCCCCGCACCTCCACCCCCTCCTGCTCCCCCACCCCCCGTGCCGCTCTCCCGCGCCCGCACTTACGACGACGACGTCTGACGGACGCGAGGAAGCGCCGCCGACTTGCCGCCTCCGCCACCAGATTGCGCGGCGTCCACACCCGAATCGCCCTGACAAGTCACCCGCCGCGTGCTCTTAAGGGTCGCTCGACACGTGGAGCCACCACTCCAACGTCTCTCTCGCCTAATGGGCCCAAGCCACATCCTGCACACGTCCCACCCAGCATTAAAAAAAACTGTTTTGTTGTTGTTGACCCAATCATATCTTCAAAACTGACCTGGTCACGTTCACTTCTCAACCGGTCTTGTCGCACAATTCCCAGCCTCCATCATCTCGGATACCAGTGCTCAGATTCCATCGACTTATTTTCGAGCTGCACAGTTTCGTGTCCAGCTCTCTGCTCCGTACACAAATTCAGATCGCACCCCTGCCTCAAATACCCTTCTCGTTACACTCTCGTCCCTTTCAGAGTAGTCTCCATAGGCCACGTAACCCCTGCCCTGCTAAAGAAACACTCCTCTTGGCCTCATTCTCACAGCCCCAAGCGTTATGGATATTAATGCCCAACCACACAATATAGGAGACAATCAAAATGAAGTGATTTAAAGTGGTGCATATTCCCATTGTTTCAAAGGCCCAATTTTGCACACAGTTGGCAGCTATATATAATTGAGGTTTTAATTACATAGTCGGCAGTGATGCTGTATTAGCCACCTATTTAAGGCCTAAGACTGGAGGACTTATTCACAGTTCCGTCGAATCCCTGATCACGCTGGTTGTGACTACAAGTGAAACGTTCGTACCCAATTGTTAAATGGGTTGTGGATCTCTGCATCATAAACACCGGTGATGCTAAAGCAGTGACACGATGTTGGCACGTTGGTTCACGCGACAATTGTATTGTCTGTGTCGGGTGGAGGAGGGTGTATGACATTTTACTTGGGTGTTCTGACCCAAAAATCAATTATGAATTTTGCAGGAGGTCGGGGGTTCGATCCCGACCCTGACACCTGTACATGTGGAGTTTGCGTGTCTCTCTCCCCGTGGTCGCGTGGATTTTTCTCCGGGTTTTCCCTTCACATTTAGAATCAACGTGTTTCTTAAATATTTGGCTGATAAACATTTCCACATGATGAGCCACTTCGTTGAGCTATCATTTGTGGCCAGGTCGCTTCTTGAAAAAAAAGCTACATAGCTCAGTGGGTAAAATAAAAATGTATTTCCTTTAGTTTTGTTGTTATACCTCCATGCTGTCAAGAAAAAACAAATGACACCCGCGTTCTGCACTGCCATTTTGTTCTCAGCAGCACTTACTGTCACTGACATGGACAGTTGATGATGTTGGCTGTAAGCGAGACTTCACGCGTTCTTTGCTCATTCACAGCCTGCCCTTTGTGAAGTAACGCGTGCAACCAGAGCGGCCATGTGGCCACATCGATGAGCCCTGTTGTTGTTGTGCGGGCCGGAGCTACAATGAGAAGTGGCTGATTTCCCGCTTCGAAAAGTTGGAACGGTCCACAACAAAAAAACTCGTGACTTGCGAGCGACTCCCTGTTATATGCCATTTCCAATGATTACGTTGTAAATATCAGAGCTACAGTGTTGCTATCGAGTCATGAATGTAGTCAGAGTAGTTTTTTTTTATTGGCTGAAGGGACCTGCCGATATATCTCAAAATTTCATTTTCTACCCACGGAATCCTCCTGGCCCGTGTTTTGTTTAATGTGTAACGTTTGCATCTGTCACGAGCTCGTACGTATGTTGAACTCCTTACGCACCGTACGTGGGCAACCGTGCTAATCGGTGCTCATTGTATTTGCACCTTTAAAATAATGACATTTTTAGTGCTGCTGCTCATTTTTTTTGACGCGAGCAAAGAGCCTCGTGAGAAGACCAAAAAAAAATATATCCATGGTGTGAAATGCCTGCCATGTTCATTCAATAAACTCACCTCTGCACCAACGTGAAGAGGCCCACCTTACATGTTGTTGCATGCCGACTGCGGTATTTCCCCCGTGCCCACGGCTCCCGTCTCGTGGTAGAAGTCTGCACTAATTATGCCTGATGGGCATCTCCCCCAAAAAACGCAGCTTCTCCGTACGTTTGCAATTGATCGTCCGCAAGATCTCTTGCGGAGCGGAATGCCTTACTTTTCCACGAAAATAATCAAATAACTGCCCAAAAGAACAGGTGTTTAAAAGTTTGGCAGTAAAATCCTTGCAAAATTGTTCAATCTGGGCCAAACAAGTAGCCTGACCTAGAAAACACAAAAGTCACGAATATATTTATAAATACTTAAACCCCAATTTTCATAATTTAACAATTTTCATGATAAATGTACCTGAATCTTGGCCTGCCTCTCTTCTTTTTGTCAGATTGTCAGCTGTGACACCAAGTAATAAAACCAAGGCAGAGTAAAGGTCCAGGAGGGATAAAATCAACTGGATTTTATTTCGGCTTGTGCTGCTGTGTGTAATTGCATTTCACCCTCGGTGTCATTTCCATTTGCACGCAAAGTACAAATTGCCAATTCGGGATGACCTCCACTTCTCCGCAGATTCACAGACCAATTAGGGAGTGAAAGGCTGTGTGAAGTGTCACACATTTCGTGTGCGACACGTGCATTAGCCAAGCGGTGGTGGCATTGCATGTGGAGTTTTGTTATGATGCCGACTTATTGAAATTAGGACATTGTTCACACATTTTATCTCGAAAGGCCTTCCCACAAACTCGTTTTCTGGAGAGTTTTGCATTGAAATACTTTATTCGTATAAAGAAATGTGTATACGGGAGGAAATCGAGCACCGATAGAAAACCCACACACACGAGGAGAGACGCTGGAAGATCTGCACGGATGAGTGACAACCCCACGAGCAGTACTGCCATCTCCTGGCCACCTCATGGTGCCAGCAGTCCACCAAACATCCTCCCAAGGTGCTGGACGTGCACGGTACGTGCCATTAGGGGCGGTGCACCGTTAACATTGAGATCCCGGCAATTAAGTGCACAACACAAAGAAGATTGGTCCGGTATTCCGTATTAAAGATTTTATAATATAATTTTTTTGGTGTACAAATTCAATCGTCAGATAAAGCAAAACGCAGTATAACAATTAAGACTATTTCAGAGAGGAAAAGAAGACACGTGACCGTATTATACAAGAGGATAGTCCTGCTCAAACAACCATGGGGCAACACTCATCTCCACTGGTGGCCGTGAGCCAGAAGCTACAATTCCAAATTCCTTTGGCATAGGATTGACAGATTGTATTGTATAAGGCGAGAGCCCATGAAGACTTGACGTCTCTTTTAAGAGCTGTCCCAAGTCAACAGTGAAATGCGGATCTAAAAAAGCCTAACACATGAATAGCAAATGAATAAGAGGATGGCTGCTGTTGACTTTGCACAAACTGATACCTATTTTATGTACCCTGGACTAACACTGAACTGGTTCGTTAAGAGCTCTGACTGCAGCAGCACCAGGCTGGATTAAGTAGAGCTGTCAATGATCAACATTTGCTGCTTTCCTTTCTCAGCACGATCATCAGCACATAGATTGGAACATCAGACCTCACATTGAGGTAACAAAAATTACGTTTCACTTCACGGAAACATCCTAACAAATTGAGATTTTTCTATGGAAGGATATGTATGTGTACATTTAATGTAATAAATGGTGGCCGGTTTAATGACATATATTTACGTGATCTAACCCAAAAAACCTGTATTATGAATTTAATAAATCTACACATCTCTAAATCAGCTCAAGTCCCCCCGTTAATCCCGTGATATATTTGTGGCCACCCCCACTCCGAATCCCTCTCTGCCCGCTGTAAAAACACACGCTGCCCCTCTGTGTGGCTCACTTCTGCTTGCATCTTCCTTCTCTCTACCTCTCTTCTCATCATCTTCACCGTCTCATCCCCGACATCTTGGCCAAGTAATTTCCTTCTCCCCTCCTCTCCTTCCTGCCCGGTGCTCCTCCTTGCTGCTGCTGCTGCTCATCTTGATCCCGTGCCCTCTTTATCTTGGGAGACTTGCGTCCCGTAATTTCTCTTCCCCTTTCTTTTTTCCCACACATTATTTTCTTGACTCGACTGCCCTTCCCCTTGGTGTGCCATGTGGTAAAAGGTGTTATTCTGTATACTATCTCAAGCATGAACAGATACAATCTGAACAGTACCACAGATCCAATCCGAAATTGCACTGAGAGTCTCATCCATGCCAAGCCTGCTGGGTCTTCGCAGACGCCTCGTGTTGGTTGACTGGGTCACAGCACACAAACTAAACTAAACAATGTTTTCATTTTACCAGGTAAGGCCTACTGAGCTGGATAGCTCTTTTTCAAAAGCGACCTGACTATCACAAATAATAGCCCAAGAAGTTGGCTTATCGGGTGGACATTTTTAGCAGCCAAATACTCGAAACGAGTGATGTTGATTCTAAATGTGGAGGGAAAAACTGGAGAGAAATCCACACGGCCACTGGAAGACAGACACGCCAACTCCAAATATACAATGGCCAGGGTCGAAATCGAACCCGCGGCCTCCTACATACCAGGCGAGGTCGTTAACATCTCGCCACCACGGCACCCAAAGCCTCAACCACATAACTGAGTTATGTGGCTGAGGCTTTCAATGCAGCTTCAGCAGGCATTAGTGTAGACGGCTGTATTAAATAACCATAGTTTGGGCTGAACATCCAGGTCACCAATAACTTAATGAAGGTCAGCATTACTTTTACAACTTTTGGAACGTAATAGGAAAAGATATCTGTTAAGCAGTGAGATGCATTTATTTATTAAGATGCTCTTTTAAAAATGTACTGATAAACTCCATGAGGCAGACAGTTTACCAACAATCAGAGAATAATAATCAACAAGAAAACATACGATTATGATGAATGTATATACACGAAAAGCTCTGTTATCCGGCATTTTACCATCCAGAATGTTATGTTAAGAAGCTTAATAGCTCATCGAATTTCTCCAGGATAAATAGATTCTGATTCTGAACCGGTATCTGTCATAAACGGCAAAACAAATCTTCCTTCACGTATCCCGAAACATTGCGACAGCCATCCGGCATCTTGCCGTGCGCTTTTCAAAGATCCGTTGGTGTTTACGCAGGCTTCAAGACACTTTTAGAGTGGTGACGCTAGCGGAAGTCTCAATTGTAAACATCCGCCATCCACCGTAGCGATGGCATTGTGCTGTATCGTGACTTTGTATGTTGTACGACTCTAAACGGCCCACTGCTTCTCTAGAATCAACTTAGAATGATGCTCTAAAACTAACCAATGAGTACCTTTGTAAAAGGGAGATTATTACTTCTTATATCAGAGTTAGTATGTGGGCTTTGTTTCTTTCTTTAAAAGTTGTATGTACTTGGAACATTTGGTGAACCATAAGTACGCATAACTCTCAGATAACCGGCATATTTGATTACCCAGCACCCACCATTCCCCATGGATGCCGGATAACAGAGCTTTTACTGTGTGTACATACACACACAGTGTATAACTGCCTTGCCTATGGTTGGTTTGTTTTAAGTAATAGTCGTTCCAATCTGTCCTGATCAACATGAGCTGCAGAGTGGGCTGGGGGTAAACTGAGTCTAGCCGTGTGGGGGGGTTCATAATTCAACACATACAACAGGGGGGGGGGGGTCACTGGGTCTAGCTGTGTGCAGTGGTGGGGGGTCACTGAGTCTAGCCGCGTGTGCAGTGGGGGGGTGGCGTTCACCGAGTCTCTTCACACACGGGGGGCCCTGTACCGGGTCTAGTCCGGCAGCAGCTCATCGGTGATCTCATCATCCCCAAAGTCATCATCTTCCTGGGGCCGCCTCCTTGCTGCGGCCGTGCGGGGCCGCTCGGCCTGCGGGCCCAGCGGGTCGCTGTACGAAGCGTCTGCACACAACAACAGCAGCAGCAGCAGTATGGCACGCTATGCACAACACTCAGTTTCAAATCTATTTTTGTTTACTCCTCAATAAACTCAGGTGCAGTAGGAAACTTGGGGAAATAAACAGCTTATACTATGTACCACAATTTTTGTTTCTGGGTGCTAAGTGTTATTTTTTGAATTGCTTATGCCTAAAAAGTATAGACAATGGCTATTAGTCCCCAAAACCTTTGCTTTGTGTGAAGGGATGACACAAATGCACACCACGTTTTCTCATTGAAAATAGGTACATTTCAAAATATCACTGTCCTGGTCACAACAGCAAAGTTTGTGGGGAATAGCAATTTTCAGTACTTTTGAGGCATAAGCAATTAGAAAATAACACTTACTACCCAGGAACATTTTTTTTTGTTACCCAGTGAATTATTAATAAAACCTCTCAAAGCTGGACCAATTGGAGAGAGATAATTTCCAACGTTGGTGGCTATCTGGTATCATACTGGTAATGATGCATAATCACTTACGTTTAATTCTATGCATAGAAAATAAGAATAGGTTTTACCCTTTCTGGCAATAAAACAGGTGTTCAGGTGTCAAAATATAAACCTTTTCCAAGGCATTAAATCTGCATTAACCACACGTCCTTGTGGTGAACATGCAAACATACTGCAGTAATAGATGGCATTGTCTTTGAAACTGATTGGCCTACACCAGAGACAACCTTCTTCATGGCCTTGTCTCACCAGTGTCAGGCGAACAGTACAAAGAGAATACATGCACCAGAGCATTTATAGCTTGGGATGAGCAGCCATATAAAGAAGGCTGTCTCTGGTGTAGGCCAATCAGTTTCAAAGACAATAGCTATACAGTGAGGGAAAAAAGCATTTGATCCCCTGTTGATTTTGTACGTTTGCCCACTGACAAATAAATGATCAGTCTATAATTTTAATGGTAGGTTTATTTTAACAGTGAGAGACAGAATAACAACTAAAAAATCCAGAAAAACGCATGTCAAAAATGTTATAAATTGATTTGCATTTTAATGAGGGAAATAAGTATTTGACCCCTCTGCAAAACATGCCTTAGTACTTGGTGGCAAAACCCCTTGTTGGCAATCACAGAGGTCAGACGTTTCTTGTAGTTGGCCACCAGACTTGCACACATCTCAGGAGGGATTTTGTCCCACTCCTCGTTGCAGATCTTCTCCAAGTCATTAAGGTTTCGAGGCTGATGTTTGGCAACTCGAACCTTCACCTCCCTCCACAGATTTTCCATGGGATTAAGGTCTGGAGACTGGCTAGGCCACTCCAGGACCTTAATGTGCTTCTTCTTGAGCCACTCCTTTGTTGCCTTGGCTGTGTGTTTTGGGTCATTGTCATGCTGGAATACCCATCCATGACCCATTTTCAATGCCCTGGCTGAGGTAAGGTTCTCACCCAAGATTTGACGGTACATGACCCCGTCCATCGTCCCTTTGATGCTGTGAAGTTGTCCTGTTCCCTTAGCAGAAAAACACCCCCAAAGCATGTTTCCACCTCCATGTTTGACGGTGAGGATGGTGTTCTTGGGGTCATAGGCAGCATTCCTCCTCCTCCAAACACGGCGAGTTGAGTTGATGCCAATAAGCTCCATTTTGGTCTCATCTGACCACAACACTTTCACCCAGTTGTCCTCTGAATCATTCAGATGTTCATTGGCAAACTTCAGACGGGCATGTATATGTACTTTCTTGAGCAGGGGGACCTTGCGGGCGTTTCAGGATTTCAGCCCTTCACGGCTTAGTGTGTTACCAACTGTTTTCTTGGTGACTATGGTCCCAGCTGCCTTGAGATCATTGACAAGATCCTCCCGGGTAGTTCTGGGCTGATTCCTCACCGTTCTCATGATCATTGCAACTCCATGAGGTGAGATCTTGCATGGAGCCCCAGGCTGAGGAAGATTGACAGTTCTTTTGTGTTTCTTCCATTTGCGAATAATCGCACCAACTGTTGTTACCTTCTCACCAAGCTGCTTGGCGATGGTCTTGTAGCCCATTCCAGCCTTGTGTTGGTCTACAATCTTGTTCCTGACATCCTTGGAGAGCTCTTTGGTCTTGGCCATGGTGGAGAGTTTGGAATCTGATTGATTGATTGCTTCTGTGAACAGGTGTCTTTTATACAGGTAACAAGCTGAGATTAGGAGCACTCCCTTTAAGAGTGTGCTCCTAATCTCAGCTCGTTACCTGTATAAAAGACACCTGGGAGCCAGAAATCTTTCTGATTGAGAGGGGGTCAAATACTTATTTCCCTCATTAAAATGCAAATCAATTTATAACATTTCTGACATGCGTTTTTCTGGATTTTGTTGTTGTTATTCTGTCTCTCACTGTTCAAATAAACCTACCATTAAAATTATAGACTGATCATTTCTTTGTCAGTGGGCAAACGTACAAAATCAGCAGGGGATCAAATACTTTTTCCCTCACTGTATTACAAGAGTATGTTTTATTTGCATGGTCTTTGGTTCTTTCTACCCACGTGACTATACCGATAGAACCAAAGAGTATGGATCCCTGCAGTCACGAACGCTTCAAATCAAGATTACTCGGTGTGGTTCATGCAGACTTGATTCCTTGCAAAAGGTATCATCTATTTGGCGTTTGAAATTTTGTACACCTGTTGTATTGCCAGAAAGGGTGAAACCCTGTCTTATTTGTAATGCTTTGATACTGGCAAAAAGGTCCCATATCTCTGGTGTAGGCCACGTAATTCGCACCCAACTCATTTAATTAACACTTGACAAATAAAATAAAATATTATTTTATATATTCTTTGTTACTTTCGGTAAAGCCACGTAGATAGAAAAAATAATAAAACAAATCAAGTAAACTTCACTTCATTCAAGTAAACTTCACTTTATTTTTCTATCTACGTGACTTTACCGAAAGAACCAAAGAATATGAATTCCTGCAGAAATACAAACTCAATGCAGGGTCCTGCATTGAGTTTGTATTTTTATTTTACTGTGATCCCGAGTCTATTAATGATAGGTGTTGTTTTAAATGTGGGAGGACCCAGAGAAAAAAACCACAGGGTACAGAGTTGCTAAGTGCATGAACACGGGGTCAATTGTATCTGTTACACATTATGTGGTGATGCTGCATTAGCAGTGGTGCACACAAGCACAAATCACAAGTAGCCTCAACACAATTGTCAATAACACTGTGGCCTTCAAGGGATACACATACGACAGGCAACGATTCAGGAAATTGCCTGAATTCTTTGGATGTGCTATGAAAAAGGGCCATTACCCGAAACGTCGCCCACACAGTGTTATTGACGAATGAGATGAGTTTCAAATTCATTGCAACGTTCGCAGATAGCATCTGGCACCGTACATCTTCCAGTGTTGATAAATAACACGTGAATTTCCTACACATGATCAGCAGGAAATGTTCAACATGCGTAAAGACTGCAGAATGGTGTGTCTTACCAATGGCTAAAATCACCCTGCGTGCGACAAAGGGTTCCGGCTGTAAATGTTTCGTTACAGTGAGGGAAAAAAGTATTTGATCCCCTGCTGATTTTCTACGTTTGCCCACTGACAAAGAAATGATAAGTCTATAATTTTAATGGTAGGTTTATTTGAACAGTGAGAGACAGAATAACAACAACAAAATCCAGAAAAACGCATGTCAGAAATGTTATAAATTGATTTGCATTTTAATGAGGGAAATAAGTATTTGACCCCGTCTCAATCAGAAATATTTCTAGCTCCCAGGTGTCTTTTATACAGGTAACGAGCTGAGATTAGGAGCACACTCTTAAAGGGAGTGCTCCTAATCTCAGCTTGTTACCTGTATAAAAGACACCTGTTCACAGAAGCAATCAATCAATCAGATTCCAAACTCTCCACCATGGCCAAGACCAAAGAGCTCTCCAAGGATGTCAGGAACAAGATTGTAGACCTACACAAGGCTGGAATGTCCTCACCGACTTTACGAACACTTCAAGGGCCCACCACCTCCTTCGCTCAGCTCTCGAGCGACGCTGAGGTTACCTCCGTAACTCAAGAGTCACAGTCATTTACGTCTCTCAAATATTGTGCGCTTTACTAAATTGCATTATTTAGTATTGTTATTTTGTAAAGTGACTTACCGATCGGCTTGCCAGGGTTGCTGCTATCATAACCTTGCCCACCAGGGGCGACGGAACGCAACTTGCCACTCAGCCTTTCGGCGCGTACGCCCTGGCCACTTCCTCCCCTGTCTACGGGCACACACAAGCGCACACGAGCACATCCGCAAAAATAATTACATGGAAATGGAATCAACATCGAACATTGCTGATTATACCGATGAGCATTCACAGTCACAAAAGATTCCCCATAGCAAATGTTGAGGCAATAATAATCAGAGCATTATTTGAAACCAGGTGACAGCCCAATGTTGCTGACAAAGGAGGTCAGAGACGCTCATCTCGAGAAAGCCGCTTTTCTGCTAAGCCGTGTACGAACTTGCTGACCCTCTTCTACTGCTGTTGTACGGTGCTCTGTCTCCTCGTGCAGTGTACGGGGTGTGCAGCTTACAGGCGTCGACACTGCAATCACTTACTACAAGACAAGCAACTTAAGCACGCAGCAGGAAGTGGTACGGTTTGATAACGAAGAGTGAGGGTGTGTTACACGTAATTCTGACTTAGAATTATAGGTGCGCGATTCATGTGTAGAGGTGATACGCGCTGGGATTAGAGATCGTATGCCAGCGCGTAATGATTGGCTGTGTAGGTGGTGACGCGCGCTGACGGTGGAGGATCAGGGGTCAGCGCGGGGTCGTGGGTTACGGGGTACTGATTGGCTGTGGGCCGGTGACGTGCTGAGAGGGAGTGATCGGGTGGCAGCGCGGTGTGATTGGTGAAGGAGTGTTAACACGCGCTGGGGAAAACGGATCGTAGAGAGAGTGCGTCGTGATTGGTTCATTAAGGAGCGATGCTCACGTTGAAGTACGCATCAGCTCCGCCTCTCGTGAGCAGGGGCTATAAAAGGGGATGCACACAGGCGTGAGGGCAGTGTGTAACCAGCGAAGAATGAAGACGGGGATGAAGACCTAGGGCCCTGCGGTACCTAGTCCCGCTGTCCTAACGGGACCGGGACTCTGTGTAACCCAGAGGCGAGTGTAGTGTGTGTAGCCATAGGCGTAAGGTCTACACGAGCCGAATGCAGTGTGTGTAGCCAGGGACATAGGGTCTACATGAGTCGAGTGTATTGTGTAGCCAGGGACATAGGGTCTACACGAGTCGAGTGTATTGTGTAGCCAGAGGCGTAGGGTCTACACGAGTGAAGGGTATCGTGTGTAGCCAGAGGCCTAGAGTTTACACGAGAGTAGTGGAGTGTGAAGTCGGAAGAACGGAGACTACACGTTGTATTTTGACACGTAAAGATTTAATAAAAAGTGTGTTCCCGTCAAGAAGTTCCTGCCGTCAATTCCCATACTTCAACTGGCGTCAGAAGTGAAACGGTCTTCCAAGCATGGATACAAGGAGGAACCGTCGGACCCACGGGATTGACCACGGGGACAACCTCGACGACGCGGGCCAGCTGCCATCGGGGGGTGAGGAAGAGGAGTTGCCCACGGGGCAGGATCCGCCGACGGCGCCGGACGAGCGACGGGGGACTGACGCCGTGCTTCGCGAAGCGCACTCCCGTCTGGCGGAGCTGCTGCTCGCCGCCGCGTCCATCCTGGCGGAGATCAGCTCGTCGGGAGGAGCGGGAACGGCGGCCGACGTTCTGCAGGGTCGCCCTTCAGATTCCCGCCAAAACCATTTGGCGATGCCCGCCATTTCATCTGCACCGACTTTTGGCGGGAACGGCCATCACCACGTGGCAGCGGTTCTCCATGCGCGCCCGCTGACGTCACCAACGCGCGCGGCGGACCGCCATCACACACCCGCCGATGGGGCCGCCATCTTACACACCGACGGGGCGGCAGAGAGGAAGCACGAGGAGGACGACTTCATCTTTCAGCAGCGCCTTCCCACGTTGTCAGCCTTCAAAGCGGAAGGCGGGGATTGGAGCCAATTTCAGCGCAGATTTTTGGCGCATCAGGAGATGTCCGCCTGGTCCGACGCTACGGCACTGCGGGCACTGCCTGCCATGCTGGATGACAACGCGCTCGCGGCCTTCACGTCCGCACGCAGGTCGGACCGCTCCACGCTCAAGGATGCGCTGGCTCTCATGGCCAAGGTCTATGGTCCTCCCTCCGCGTGCCGCCATCATTTTTATGCAAGACGGAAGGCGGACACGGAGACCGTGCTCGCCTACCGCACGGCGTTGCTTGCTCTCGCCGACGCCGCGTTCCCTCGTATGGACGAGGAGGGCCAAGATGCCATGGTTTTGGAGCAGCTGCTCAAGTTGGCGCAGGACCTGGGGGTCCCCATCAACACGGCCGATGAGACCGATATTTCATCCTTACGGGTCGCCACAAGCATACAAGCGCACGAGGTCCTTCAACGTAAACAGGGAGTCGTCTGCAACGCTGCCGTGGCCTCAACTCCGGGCCCAGTTGTCACCGTGCCCCAAGTCGTCAGCCCACGAGAGGAGGCGTTCATCGCGGGACGACCGGGGGACTGGAGATCGGGGGGTCGTTCGCCTCTGCGAGCGGCCCGCAAGCTGGAGCAACCGAGATCTCCGACGACTGTCATCACCTGCTATAACTGCGGCCTCCGGGGCCACGTGGCCTCCGGTTGCCGCGCCCCACGTCAGCGCGCCATGGGACCTCGGCTGGACGACGACCAAGGCCCCAAGTCGTCCCTGCAAACCCCGGCAAGTCGCGGCACCTCACATGCTCGGCCCGCATACTCGGCACATATGGGTCGTCGCGTTGCGGCGGGGGAGAGCCGAGTAGAGTTCGGGGATTCGGTTCAGAGAGGGCGATTCGGCCGGGACCGGGGAGACATTAAATGGTCGGAGTTGGGGCACAGAAAAGTGGCTGCCTCAGCGGGTTCATCCGTCGTTACCGGATCTATTGATGGGGTCGAGGTCAGGGTGTTAGTGGACACGGGGGCATCGGCGACTATTATATCGGATCTCATTTATAATATTCTCCCTGTACAATGTCGTCCGCTTCTTCCGGTGGATGTGCCATTTTACGCCGCTAACGGGGGATCATTGGGCATTATCGGTCAGATTAGGGCGTCCATTTGCATTGGTGATATCAAATTGTCGGGACCCGTTTTTGTTTCGTCCTCCCTGGCGGTCCTTTGTCTATTGGGCACTGATTTTTTGGCAAAAATGCCCATCAAAATTCTCATTGATCAGCGTTGCATTGAACTACCATCGGGTCGCCGTATTTCATTTTTGACGAGCCCTAATGAAATTCGGACGGCGTGCGCTACCATACAGGCGTTAGCGACACAGACCGTGCACGTGCCCCCGGGTTCACAAATGTTAATTCCCCTCCGGTTGCGGAAGCCATGGGTGAAGGAGGCCTCTGAACAGGGCATGCTTTTGGGTCCTTCTAATAGGGCTGTTGGTGGTCTCGATTTGTCGGTGGCTCACACTTTGGTGGGGGCTGACAGGGATCCGTTTGTGATGGTTTTAAACGCTGGTGCGCGGCCGGCCGTCATTCAGCAGGGCACCGTGCTAGCTCACGCGGCGTGGGTCCCTGCGGAGGAGAGGCTGGTTGCGCAGGCGGATGCGAGTCCCACGGAAAACGTTACATTGAAGGAGGACCTCGATTGGGTTGATTCGCTGTGCGCGGACTCTGACGAGTTGTCAGCGGTACAGTTGGGTGCGCTGCGCGGGTTGCTCATTGAATTTTCGGATGTCTTCAGTAAACATAAGTATGACATTGGGTGCACGGACCTGCTACGCCACCACATTGAAACGGGCGATGCGGCACCGGTCAGGCAAAATCCCTTCCGACTGAGTCCTGCTGAGAAGGAACATGTTCAGTCGGCAGTTAACGATATGCTGGAAGCCGACATTATTTCGCCTTCCTCCAGTCCTTGGGGAGCACCTATTGTGCTCGTTAAAAAGCAGGACGGGTCCCTGCGATTTTGCGTCGATTTCCGTCGCCTGAATAAGATCTCTGTGGCCGACGCGTATCCGCTCCCCAGGATGGACGAGTCTCTCGACGCATTGTCTGGTGCGCGATACTTTTCGACTCTTGATTTATTATCCGGATTCTGGCAGTTGCCACTCGACGAAGAGTCTAAGCCTAAGACCGCATTTCGGACTCCAGGGGGCCTGTTTCAGTTTAACCGGTTACCCATGGGACTTCACTCCTCTCCGGCGACGTTTCAGCGTCTTATGGAATTGGTTTTGTCGGGCTTGCAGTGGGATACGTGCCTCATTTACCTTGACGATGTCATTGTTTTCGGTAAAACGTTTGAAGAACACCTCCAGCGATTGAGGGGGGTGTTCTTGCGAATGCGATCGGCTAAATTAAAGTTTAAACCGGCCAAATGCCACCTTTTTCGTAAATCCGTGAGGTACTTGGGTCACATTGTCGACTCTTCGGGGATTTCTACCGATCCTGCGAAGACGGACTGTGTCAGTTCGTGGCCAACGCCTACGTCAGTGTCAGACGTACGCAGTTTCATCGGTTTTGCTTCGTATTATCGCCGATTCGTTGAGCACTTTGCCACCATTGCAAAACCCTTGCACGCTCTAACGGCAAAAGGAGTGAAGTTCCGATGGGGACCGGAGGAGGAGGCTGCATTCTGCTCCCTCCGGGACGCCTTGGTTAGGGCCCCACCCTTGCGCTATCCGGACTTCGCGAGTCCCTTCTTGCTAGACACGGACGCTAGCAACACGGGCATTGGGGGAGTGCTGTCCCAAGTCGTTGGAGGGGTCGAACGGGTGGTCGCCTATGGTAGCAGGGTGTTGTCGCCGGCAGAGCAGCGCTACTGCGTCACCCGTCGCGAACTGCTTGCCATTGTTTTTTTTGTACAACAATTCAGGCCATATCTCTATGGCCGTCATTTCACGGTCCGGACGGACCACGCGGCGCTCCAGTATTCATTGCGGGTCGCCCAGCCCTCGGGCCAATTGTCGCGGTGGTTGGAAGTCCTCCAGGACTATCAGTTCACGACTACGTACCGTAAAGGCTTGCGACACACAAATGCCGATGCCCTGTCGCGGTTGTTGCCTTGTCACAAATGTGAGTGCTTATCGGGATCGGCGCGCTGTAAACCGCCGGTTACAGAAGGTAGGGAGGCGTTGGTTGCGGCCGCGAGCACACCAATTGGGGATGGTCCCGCTACCCCTG